GATCATTTCTTTTTGAAGTAAATTTTCAATATGACAAGGCCGCTTTGGTGATTAAAGAAGAATGAGAAAACATAACGCAACATGGTATATGCAGACTCAATGACAGTATGATCGGACGTATACAGGCAATTATATCAGCCAAGGGATGCAATACAAAGTATTAGTGTATTTTTACAATTCGATTTTGGTTCGAGTTCTAAAACATCCTATCCACAATTAAGAAATAAAAACCGGAATGGAAGAGCGCCCTTCACCCTCTATCCAACCATACATAATTAGTTTCAGTCAATGGAAGTAATTAGAAAAATTTGAAAAAGAAATGTTAAAAGCAAAATTTTAAAATCATTTGGGGCCCAAATTGAAAACTGCTTTGAAATACCTTTGATTTCATCTTCTAGAATTATTAAGATTATTTATTTCAGATGTGTCTAATTAAAAGTTTTATTTTTGGTATACATTTCGATTTTGGTTCGAGTTCTAAAACATCCTATCCATAATTAAGAAATAAAAACCGGAATGGAAGAGCGCCCTTCACCCTCTATCCAACCATACATAATTAGTTTCAGTCAATGGAAGTGGTTAGAGAAAAATTGAAAAAAAAATATTAAAAAGCAAGATTTTAAAATCATTTTGAGGCCAAAGTTGAAAAACATCTTTGAAATACTTTGATTTCGATATCGTCTAGAATTATTAAGATTATTTATTTCAGATGTGTCTAATTAAAAGTTTTATTTTTGGTATACATTTCGATTTTGGTTCGAGTTCTAAAACATCCTATCCATAATTAAGAAATAAAAACCGGAATGGAAGAGCATCCTTCACCTTCTATCCAACCATACATAATTAGTTTCAGTCAATGGAAGTGGTTAGAAAAAATTGAAAAAAAATTTTAAAAAGCAAGATTTTAAAATCATTTTGAGGCCAAAATTGAAAAACTTCTTTGAAATACTTTGATTTCGATATATTCTAGAAATATTCAGATTATTTATTTTAGATGTGTCTAATTAAAAGTTTTATTTTTGGTATACATTTCGATTTTGGTTCGAGTTCTAAAACATCCTATCCATAATTAAGAAATAAAAACCGGAATGGAAGAGCATCCTTCACCCTCTATCCAACCATACATAATTAGTTTCAGTCAATGGAAGTGGTTAGAAAAAATTGAAAAAAAATGTTAAAAAGCAAGATTTTAAAATCATTTTGAGGCCAAAATTGAAAAACTTCTTTGAAATACTTTGATTTCGATATCTTCTAGAATTATTAAGATTATTTATTTCAGATGTGTCTAATTAAAAGTTTTATTTTTGGTATACATTTCGATTTTGGTTCGAGTTCTGTAACATCCTATCCATAATTAAGAAATAAAAACCGGAATGGAAGAGCGCCCTTCAGAATTATTAAGATTATTTATTTCAGATGTGTCTAAGTGTGTCATAAAGTCATATACAAGGGATGAAAAAATAAAAAACGATTTTTAATTTTCGGATTTTTTTAAATACATAATAATATTTAAAAAGAATAAAAATGCTCTTGAAATTGGCCTATTGATGGCCGTTTATAAATTTTAAGTAAAAAATAACAAAATCGTTTTTTTTAAGGATATACAGGGCGAGTGTTAAATAAGTGCAAATGTTTTTAGCGGTAGTATATTTTGACCCCAGAAACACGATTTCTTGCGCGATTTTTTTTTTGAAAAATTGGAATTTTTTGATAGAAACATTTTGGAAACAAGGTTTTAATTTATTGTCGATTCGTTTTTGAAACACAAGTTTCTCTCTTTTTAGATACAAATATGATATAATGTAGATGATTTGTGTCCGACTCCATGCCAATTTTATAAAATAATTAATTAAAATTCCGCCATATTGGTTAGTGATCGCGTTTTTAACTAAAAATATATGTATATTTATCGGCTGTTGAGCTTTTGAACTCATAAGAACGCGTTCTAGTTACATAAATTTATATATAAGAACCATGATATAGAAATAAAAATAAAAATGTAAATTTCAAACAAAAATATTTTATAGCAACCAATAATGATATATAGAAGGGGAATTAAAAATATGAAAGTACATTATTAAATTAAACGATGAATTTGCTTTTGACAGACATTTTTTGTGCGACAAAACCTAAAAACAAAGATCTTTAGACCAAAAAAATTATGGCTGAGGTCGACATTGTTGACGGTTGTTTTAGTTTTGAAATCCACACACGAACATAGACTATTTTAGTTTGGTATTTTGTTTCATTACATTTAGAGACAGTGGCTGCTGTAAATTTTTCGAAACATTTCCTCTAAATGTTTTGATTAAGCATCGAAACCTTTCAGGAAACGGCTAGTGCCACCACATTGAAAACACATATAATAAAGCAATATAAAATATACAGGTTTTGAAAATGTTTCCTATTTGTGGCATTCGTTTCTATTTTGTGTCAAGAAACAGACACGATTATTTAAAACATTATCTAAAATGTGTCCAAAAATGCTACTTGGGATGTCTATAAACGGCCAGCCTTAATCTTAAATAATTAAATGCTACTAAGATAATTTCTTCTTGAGATCTCATCGATTGTTTTGGATGTTCCACAACAAAAGACTTTTACTGAGATATACGGATTTTTTTTACAAGAGGAAAAACTTTTTTATTATTGACATTTTGAGAAAAATGCATTCTTCATAAAAAATTTAGCTAAAATGGTTAATCCCGTTATATTATTCGAAATTTTCATTCTCCCAACCAACCAAAATTTTCACTCCAAACGAAACTAAACCCAACCTAAACATTTTAGAAAAAATAAAAAAACCTGAAAGTATAATAATTATTGAATGAAAAGTTCTAAAGACAAATCGCGTTTCGATGGTAATATAATGTCATTTTTTTTCTTTAATAGATTTTTATTGATAGAATTTTAATTAACGTCATATTTTCTGCTATTTCAAAATGTTAAAGAAGCACAAAATTTATTTAGTACAATGCAGCAATGCTACAAAATCGGTAATAATGTTTATTGGAAAATGTGATACTTTAAGAACGGCAAATAATATGACGTTACTCAAAATTAATAATATATCTATGAAAAATGGAATTGAAATTATATCACTATAGAAACGGGTTTTGATTTTTTGAACTACACTCAGATGCAAAAACGCACCGGAAAAATTTTGGTTAAATTTCAAGCGTTATATTTTTGTTCTTTTTAGCCCTATTTTCATGAATTTTTAGCAAACTGTATATTATTATATCAAATTTAATTCGTAAACTAAGTTTTTTATAAACTTTAGTATTTGGCATGTTATACAAGGTTAATCGAAGGGTTGTTTATTACCCTAACTTTAAAACACCCTGTGCAATAATTTCGTTTGTGAATTTTTATAAAATATAATTTTACGGTCAGAACTATGTGTCCTGAGCATTTTGTTTATTGAATCATGTCAATACATGCCTTGGTTAATTTTTAAGAGCGAAATAAACTTGGCACCAAGAATTTGTATTTTTTTAATGATCATTTCTTTTTTGAAGTAAATTTTCAATATGACAAGGCCGCTTTGGTGATTAAAGAAGAATGAGAAAACATAACGCAACATGGTATATGCAGACTCAATGACAGTATGATCGGACGTATACAGGCAATTATATCAGCCAAGGGATGCAATACAAAGTATTAGTGTATTTTTACAATTTTTTTTTTCTGTTTGTATACTTGAGCATTACAGATATTTTCTTTAATATTGTTAGTTCTGTTATCGTTATTAATGTTTATTAAAACCAGGACAGTATCGTTAGACTTTAACGTTTTTTTTTTAATTTTTAAGAGTATCCAATGCAGCGTAATACGACGTTACGACAATAGTGACCAAAACCATCTCGTCATATTAAAAAGATACATAAAAAAGTAATGATAATTGAAAAAATTGCAAATTGATCGTGATATCGTGATCAGTTCATTTCGCTCTTAAAAATTAACCAAAGCATGTATTGACATGAATCAAAAAACAAAATGCTCAGGATTCATGGTTCTGGCCGTAAAATTATGTTTTAGAAAAATTTACACACGAAATTATTGCACAGGGTGTTTTAAAGTTAAAGTAAAAAAACAATCCCCCGATTAACCCTGTATAATATGCCAAATACTAAAGTTTATAAAGAAACTTAGTTTACGAATTAAAGTTGATGTAATAATATATAGTTTCCTAAAAAAATCATGAAAATAGGGCTAAAAATAACAAAAATATACACTTTAAATTTGACAAAAATTTCTCCGTTGCGTTTTTTGCATCTGAGGGTATATTTTGATGTTTCTTTTAATTTTCTTTAAAACGGTATGGAAATTTAAAAAAATATAAACAGGATTAACCATTTTAGAACAAGTTAACAATTTAATGAAGAATGTATTTTTCTCAAAGTGTCAATAATAAAAAGTGTTTCCTCTTGTAAAGACAATCCGGGGACATACTGTATAGATCTAATCAACAATATTTTCATATAGATTCTTTTGTACATTTAAAAATTTCTAAATAACACCATTATACTCTAATAATTAAATACCTATATGAATATCCTCCAATGAGGGAGTAAAAAGCACAGTATCCTCACAATCTTTTATTAAATTTTTTTTTCAATAGAGGGGGCAACATGTTTCGAAACGGTATAGCCTTATTCTTAGGCACAAGACAATAAAGGCATATCATAGACTACCACCACGAGAAGCGACCAAGTTGTTGTTAAAACTATATGTATATCTCAAATGGGCATTTGCTACAAATTGGTTCGGCTTATTGTTAAAGCTGGTTAGCAACTTAAAACTGGTAAACATAAAACGTTAAAACTCGGATACCAACAGGGTGACGTTAGAGACCTGAGATCTCTGTTAGATAAAAGTTAAAATACAACAGTTTTAAAATAGCTGCTAAATTGCCAATGAGTTTTAACAATGAGCTGTACCAGTTTGTAACAAATGCCTATTTGAAATACATAGTTTTAAGTTTATAATGACTTGATCGGTTCTCGTGGTGGTAGTCTATGACTTTATCGTCTTGGGCCTGAGGTTGAGACTACACCGTCTCGAAACATGTCGCTAGCTCTACTTGTAAAAAAATTAAATATTTTTTTTAAATAAAATAGTGAAGGTTCTATGCCTTTTATTCTCTTATTGGAGGATATTCATCAACATGAATTCAGACTAGGTCAATGGACGTTTTTAAAATACTAATATGTACTATTAATGTATAAAAATAACGTATAAATATAAAGACTACTAAATGTTCATACATTAGAGTTGGTTGTTGCAACTTGATTTCTCATCCTGGACAGTTGCAATTTGATATCTTCCATGCCATTCGGAGACATAATTCCAGTGAATCTGTTGATTGTTTCTTTTACTTTCCTTTTAATACGTCCTTTATCTCTTCCTGAATTCCTGTCAATCTCCTGAAACATTAAATCGTGTTGTAATCTGAAGTTATTAGAGAGATATTTTAACAACTCTATTTCGAAGAGGAATCAAGCAAAATAGGGACTTATTGAACGTCGCTTAAGCATTCTGCCTTATTAAGGTTTGCCTTACTATGACAGGTACGCATGCATTCAGGATATTTTTAATAAGGGAACCTTAATAAAATACTGGCTTCCCTTGTTTACGTCTGGTTACCGTAACCCGTTAAGGAAACTTTATTTCCCTTATTTTTTACATTTTTAACCATAACCTAGCTTTAGGGCGTTAAACATGAAATAACGAACTATATTTAATGATTCTTTTTTATTGTAAAACTTTTTATTACAGCTAATTGTAGATGTTTACATGCCAAAATATTGCTCTAAATTTATGGGAACAACATTGAAATAATCTGCCACCTGATAACCATAAAGGCATGTATGAGCATTTGTTAATAAAACAGCCACTTTATATAACATCTCTACATCCTGCAATAGAAGCTTCTGATTCATTTTAAAATCAACAAATGCAAATTGCGTAATCATTTTAGAAAACCCCCATTCAACAGCTATTCTTAAGACCTTTATTGATTGGTTAAGTTGTAACTGCTGAGCAGGTATGTTCTCGGGTGCTCCTGGAAATGGAGTAATTAATAACTCCAGTAGGCTATATCCTTGATCACCGAATAAAACAAACTTGTCTTCGCCAAAAACAGCTTTTTGTTCAATATTGTCGTTTTTCAATGTTTTTTTTGTCAATACTCAATATTGCCATTTGCCAATTTAACGCGTCAGAAGTGAAGTTGCCGTCCAATAACTCATATGTTTAACACAGAAAATAAGACATTCCTTATTAAAATAAGGCCTTCCCTTAATAAGGTATGACATTAAACCACCATGTTCAATAACTCCCTAATATGTAGCTAAAATAAGTATGCTATATTTTTGGAAAGGTAATTTTAAATTCTTTTCAACTAATTAAAAATATACAAGGTGTTCCATATAAAAAATAAAATTGTCTGTTTATAATTATTATTCTTAAATTATTTTAGAAAAATTATACTTAAACTATTAAATTCTATGCAAAAAGGTGCTTTGAAAATGTTTTCAAAAAAATACAAAATTTTCCATAGCAAAAAAGTTATAGCGATTTTTTAAAAATGCACATTTTTGAAAAACACCCCGTAATTCCGAAACGGTAACAGATATCGACGTGCGGTTTTCACCATCATGTTTTTGATAAAAATTGAGCTCCAGACACCGATATTAGTTTTCGGCTATCTCCTATAGGAAAGGGTGTTTCCCTTTAAAGCGTCTAATTTGACCCAACCTGTACAATGATTTTATTAAGTAAAACAGAAAGTAAAACTGAGCTAAAAACCCTATCAAAATATGCCACAAATGTAAATGCAAAACAATACGGTATGGAAGTTTTCAGTATTTAATTTAAAAGATAAGATGTTCTGTCATACTTTGGAAATTTGGTATAAAAATATATTGTAAAATATGTATGTATATATGTTGTTTACTTACTTGAACGATTATAGACGTTGGAGGGGCCTCGATTATAGGCGTTGGGGTGTCTTCTTCACGTTCATTATTATTTCTTGTGTTTAAAACTGCATCCGCCTTAAATTAATAAAAATATATTATTATCATAATTGCAAATTCTTCAAATTAATAATTAAATTAAAAACAATTTAATTATTTAAATAAGTACAAAATTAATAATTAAAATTCTTATTAAATATTATTGCGACAAAATAAATCAATCAAAGAATAACTAAATTATTTAGCAGCGTATCTAGTCATATTTGCTCTAGATTTAAATCGTGTGTGGTAAAAAAGTTTGTATACATTTTTGCTCTAAAATCCTTCGTTTCGGAGATACAGGGTGTAGAAGTTTTATTTTAATTTCGATTTTTTCCAAACAATTTTTGAGCTAACGCTGATATTGGACGAAAATTGGTATTTGGGCATTTTTTACATGAGAAATTTGATTTCGATGTTAGTGTGACTCCTACTTGTAGGGGGCTAAAAAATAAAATGTTTCAAAATTATTCCTTTTCTTTTACCTTTTAAATTTATTATTTCAGTCAAATAATGGACATTGAATCAAATTCAATGCAAAACAGGTTAGGATATGAAGCAAAAAACAAAAAGCAAAGATGGATGACGGATGAGATATTGTTAATGGATGAACGTCGAAAGTACAAGAACAAAACAGATGGCATGTACAAAGATATTCAAAGACTCATAAGAACAAAGATTAGAATATCAAAGTACGAATGGCATAAACGTGAATATTCATAATTAGAACAGCTGCAAAACCAACATGACAATTTTAATCTGCATAAAAAGCTGAAGGAGACTGCTGGCATATATAAAAAAAATGAGATCAACTGTGACAGTCAATAATAACAACCAGATTGTCCTCGAAAGCATAGAAAAGAACAATGTTTGGGAAAAGTATATACAAGAATTTTTTGACGATGAAATACCCTCAGCTGATATCAATAACTCACTAACCGGCCCATCGATCACTAAAGATGAGATTGAAAAAGCCATACTTAATTCGAAAAATAACAAAGTGGCTGGGCCAGATGAAATTCCTGCGGAAATACTTAAGCTGCTAGATGAAGGAGGCATTACAGCATTACATAAAGTATTCAATATTATATATGAGACAGGTCACTACCCCAAACAGTGGTTGCGTTTTACTTTTATACCCCTGCTTAAGAAGACCAGTGCCAGAAAGTGTGAAGATCACAGATTTATCAGCCTGATGAGCCATACCCCAAAAAATATTTCTGAAAATAATACACCAGGGAATTTACAAAAAATGTGAAAGGGGCATAAGCGATTCACAAACGGGATTCAGACAAGGGTTAGGCACCAGGGAAGCGATAGTTGCAACATAGGTGCTTGTCCAGAACTGCTACGATCAGAGAAAGGATGTGTGCCTATGTCTCATAGACGACGAAAAGGCATTTGATCGCGTACAGCACCACAAATTAATGCAGCTCCTGAAAAGACTTGATGTAGGTCATAAAGACATCCAAGGCATTGAGAAGTTATACTGGAACTAAACAGCACAAATAAAATTCTCCAATACCATGTCCAATCCCATACAAGTTAGAAGGGGTTGCGACAGGGTTGCGTACTGTCTCCACTCCTATTTAATTTATACTCAAAAGCTATTTTCCAAGAGGCTCTGGAGGACGTGGAAATGGGGGTCAAAGTTAATGGAGTGTGGATTAATAATATCCGCTATGCCGACGATACGGTCTTAATTGCAGACAATATACACGACCTACAACAACTGGTCAACAAGGTAGGAGAACAGAGCAAAGCAATGGGTTTAAACATCAACATCAAGAAAACCAAATTTACGATTATATCCAGAAACCCAGATGTGTTTATAAACTCCATTCTAACATTTAACTCAAGGCCCATAGAAAGAGTAGATAAATTTAAGTACCAAATTTATCTACCAAATTTTCAAAAAATATTAAACAAATAAAAATATAAATGAACAAAAATACGAGTAGCGGAAAAATATATATATTTTCAATATATATCAATCAATATATATATACACTACCTAAGCCTTCTTAGCTCCATTTACGGTAACGTGGATGAAGCAAGCAAATAAAAATATATTACTTAAAATAAGCCTTCCATATTATTGCTCTGGACACAATCACTGCAAAGACGTATGTGGTCCCAGTCGGCATTTTGTTTTCAAAAAACAAATAAAAAGAGGCAGATTTTTATTTTTCTATTAAATATATTATTTCATAAATGTGAACATCAATGACATATCAATATAATTTTACATATAAAATGACAGCGATCTTCATTTCATAGTCATTGCTGACGCCGTTTTTTTTTCGGTCATATTGTATTGTCAAGTTAATACCGACAGATTAAAATAGAATTAAAGGAATACTAAATCTGCTGATCTGGTAATCCGGTGTTTAACTGTAGTTAAACTTGATTTTTGTTATAAATTACAATTCACAGCTAATCAAAAGATATTTTTAAAGTAAAAAAAGTTATCAGTGGTATAATTAAAGCTCATAAACCGCAATGTTCGAATTAAAATTTTTAGATTTTGAATATTTTTTTTAGAAAGTTTGATAATATTGGAGAAAATGATAAAAATCGGATGCCATAAAATGGTACGAAGAATAATTATTCATATTAAAAAAATATGACTAAACATTGGATTCTCAAAATGTGCATAACCGGCGATTGTGGTGTAGCTGTGCAATCGTTGAAGTGTAGCAAAATACGCAATTGTGTAGCTTGTGGCATGCCGCTGTTAAAAATTTATGATAAATACATATGATGAAAGGCTTCAGTCCTTTTTAAATATTTTTAAAGATTTAATATTTTTGCTGTTTTAAAAGGTTAAAGAAGTACAAAATCTATTTAGTTCATTTCTACCGAAAGGGTGATAATAGCTATCGGAAAATGTGATACTTTAACAAGAGTAAAAAATATGATGTTAATGGAAATTAATAATAAATATCTACCAAAGAATGAAATCTAAATGATATTATCATAGAAAGGCCTTTTATTTTTTAGGGCTTAAAGATCGCGCACACTATACCTACACGGACCAGTACGGACCAGTACAGCACAAACCTGCATCCTGCATGACGTCGCACACTTTACCGCCACAGACCAGCAACCTAAGCGAGAGTTTCGAAAAAAGTACAGTTGTCAAGGCTCAACTACTAGAGCGTGCAACATAAAAGTATTGAAAATGAGTAGTTCAGAGGAAGAAATTATTATTTTAGCCATGTTGTGTGAAGAAGAGGAGGAAGAGAAGGAAGCTAAGAAAAAAAGAAGATTTTGGGTTCACCCTATAAATCAAAAGAGAAAGCAATATGTAAATGAATTTCATCATTTGTTTCCTCAATTAAAAAGATTCGAAGAAAAGTTTTTCCAATATTTTCGAATGTCACAAATCAAATTTGATTATTTTTTTTTTGCTATCGACTCCCCATATTGCATATATTTTCTTTCTTGGTCTCTATATATAAAATGCTTGGCTCGTATCGCACAGCTTTGGATACTTTTGTACCAGTAAAATGGTTGAATTTTTTCTTCATTCATATTTAAAACGATTTAAAGGTTCGAACAAAAATAAACGAAATCTAACCTACATCATGCGACTTGAGCCAGCTAGCGTACTCGAAATACTGACGAACCCTTCAATATTTGCATGTTTGTGGAGGTGTGCTGGTTCGCCGGTGTGCACATTAGGTCGGACCAGCACGACCAGGCATAAATATTGCCGGTCATATTTGTCCCTGACCGACACGACCTGTTTTGACGGTTGTGGCTTGTGGCGGTACGTGCTGGTACTGGTCTAGTGTGCTCTACTCTATTAAATAACACGGTCACCTTCACCGGTAGATTTTACTGGTCTGGTCCTTGCCGGTCCGTGTAGGTATAGTGTGCGCGATCTTTTAGAAAACATTCAACTATATTCTCATGTTTTTTTTTAATTTTCTCTAAAACGGAAATTTTGAAAAGTATAAACGGGATTAACCATTTTAGAACAAGCAAAAATATTTATGAAGAATGCATTTTTCTCAAAATGTCAATAATAAAAAAGTCTTTCCTCTTGTAAAGACAATCCGAGGACATAATCCTGTATGTACAGGGTGTCCCACTTTAGTTGAAATCATACGGTATCTCCGTTATTAGTAAAGATAGGAGGATGCGGTTTGCACAAACCCATCCCACTTTTTTGTCAAACGAAAGATGCTGTCAATAAAATTTTCATAGCTCTTTTCAATGAAATATGCCGGAAATATGTACAGGGTCTTTTTGAAAATTTTGTAATTTGGTACAGCCCTCGTATCTCCGTTATTGTGGATGATATCGAGAAGATTAAAACTGATTCTTGTAGAACTTTTTACGTAGAATACAGTGGTGTTTTTCTACGGAAAAAATATTTTGAGAAATTGGCGCCGGGAGGCACGTATATCCGCCCATACTAAAATATGTTAATATCTCGAAAACTGCGACTTTGATTGATTTTGATGTTATTACAAATTTTTTTGCAAATATTATTCCTAATCTTAATTTGAAAACCGCGTTTTGCTACCTACTGTAATTTTGGAGTTACGATTTTTTAAAATGTTTAACCCCTTCCCATACTCCCTTACCAACACCCCACCCCCACCAAAAACTAATGGCCAGATTCTCGGGTGGCACAGTATTTTTGTGCCAAATTTGGTTAAAATCGGTTCATCGGTTTTTGAGTTATCGTGTTACAGACGGACAGACGGACGGACAGACAGATAGATAGACAGACAGACACCATGAAAATATTTTGTATTTAGGTCATTTATGACCCAAATAACTCATTTTGAATGAAATTAAAAAAACTTTTTTTTTGCCGATCCTTATAGCCTACCATACCTATTGGTATGGTCGGCTAAAAATATGAGCTAAAGTTATGTTTTTTTTTATTTCAAATGGAACACCCCTATATTTATATATCATATGAGTAGTAGGAGATATTAGCCGATTGGGCTCCTCCACATGCGCAGTTCGCTTGACCTTGACATATGTGGCTTTCAAACCTCCTTGAGTGATTCCAGAAAGAACCTTGTTGTGAGACCTTAAACGACCTTTAAGGTTGACTTTCAGATGTATTTGAAATGCGTTTGTTTACCCTTCACAAGGTAACCCCTGTCATTACTGGTACTTTATTGAATTTACCCTTTTCAAGGAGGCTGAATGTATAATTAGTTAAAACCGCACCATCATGATCTGGTTCTACTACTGGTGTAAATGGTAGTCCATTAGTAAGTGCTGACATAAAGTTCTAAAAACAACATCAAAATGAAACACCGAAAATTTAGAAATAGTATATTGTTTTATTAGGAGCAAAAATGACACTTTCTGTGGCAATGTTCTGTTCCCCAGTTCTGTTCTGTGGCTTTCTGTGGCTCTACGTTTGACATATAGGCGAGCCACAAAAAGTAATTTTTACTCCGAATAGAACATGCCATCTTTTTTTCAAACGCCACAAATATTTTTTAAACAATTTTAAATGTTCCAAATAATATAAAATATTTAAAAGTAATACCTTGTATGTAATTATATATTGAGACACTATGGTTACGGGCGGCTTGTTGAATTTGACTCTTTGTCAGTTTAATAACATATTTTCGTACTTTTGTGCTTAGACACAAAAGTGCTTACTTTTAAGCTACATTCGTAATCAATTCGCTGGCCGAGTGGTACTTTGGCACGCAAGCTTATCATATGTACTTCAATGTAATCATTCACAACAAAATTCGACGCCAGAGTGCAAGTTGAAGTTGGATTGAAAGCTTGCAAGCTGCAAACTTCCACTTTAGCACGGAATTTTCGTTTGACAATTATGACAAATTTGACATTTAAATTTTAATAATTATTTTGTTTGTGTTTTGTTACAAGCCATTTTCCTGTGAAAAGTAAATAAATATTAAAAGAAAAATGAGTGAAGAAGACGCTATTCCTATTTTATTAGGACGTGTGGTTTTTACAGTTGAGGGTTGGAACCTTTGGTGTTACACAGCAAAATAAAAACACTAAATCACCACAATACACCGAAACACTTTTACCTTTGCACTGGACGCGCGTTTCGCTAACCATGTTAGTATCATCAGCAGATGATTATAAACTGAAGTTATAATTGTGTCTAATAATGTAAGTGTGTCTAAGAGAATAAATATAAATAAACTGAAGTTATAATCATCTGCTGATGATGCTAACATGGTTAGCGAAACGCGCGTCCATTGCAAAAGTAAAAGTGTTTTGGTGTATTGTGGTGATTTAGTGTTTTTATTTTATTTTGACGTGTGGTTTTGCTGTTAAAAAACGGCAATTATTGTTGCAGGTCAATAATTCGCTTGATCGAAGACCAAGGGGTTTACCAAAACTCAAAAAATGGGGCGTCCGACCCATATTAATGGCGAGAAAAAGTTTTGGGTGCAACGAAAATCTTTTACAAGAAGCCCGCTTAAGCGATCCCATAATTGAGACACATTGTAGAAAAAAATCATCACTAATGACGTTTTTGTTTCCATTTTTCTCAACATAAAAACTTGGAAAACTTAATTAACGGATTTTGACTCTTCCAAAATCAAAACAAACAACTAACCTAAAAAATGTCAGGAGACGTTTAAACACGCATGCGCAAAATTCGACTTGAAATTTGTTGTGAATGGTTAATTTCGTGCTGACTTTAACGTCAAAGTGCCACTCGGCTAGCGAATTAATTTCGAATGTAGCTTTATGCCTAGGCGTTAAAATGACTTTTGTGAAAGCTTTTCGAAATTGACAGTTTTTGATATTTATTTGAGATTCGAAACGACATTCTTTTGGGCACTAGTATCTAAAAGTGACTTGTTTAGGCACTAGTGCCTAAAGGTAAAAATGAAACCTTATATAGAAACAATGAAAATATTTATTTATTATAAATCTTAAAGGCACGATTATTAATAAAGTTTGAACTATTAATAAGTTATTATTAAAGTGAATACAAGAGGCATCCAACTTATCGTCTCTAAGAGAAATGCAAGTTGTAGGAGTCGGAATAAGTAAATTTCTTGTACTGGCAATGCTGGTAGCTTCTGCTTCTACGTGAACTGCTTTTAATTTCTAATTTGGCGTATCTCTCTGTCCCATGATCCTTTTTGCTATTTTGGTTTTCTGTTCAATTGAATTTTCAATGTAGGTAACCTTCAGCAGCCGAGCTTGATCGCCAAAGTCCATGTCGCCTTAAAACGGGTCCCGTGAACTATCCTGACACACGAATTTTGCATTTTTCTTTTTTTTATCATAAAGTAACCATTTTTAGTAGTAGTTTTAAATAAAAATAAATGGAGATTATGCGCAGAATTTTAAAATATTTTAATTTGATTTTAGTAATTTTTGGCACATATTTGACGTTATGGAGAATTTTAACGCTTGATTTGACATGATAGCGACAGAATAAAAAGCAATGTTATCAGTTTCATTGAATTTTCTTTTTTTGTTTTCTATTTTTATTTTAAATAAATAGTCATTTTTAATAATTTTGTACTAGTCAAATTTGTACTAGTTACTTATAAAAATTATATACTCACATTCTATTGTCCTTAGAGATTGTTAATATACTAGGGAAGGAGAAAAAATGTTTTTTTTTACATATTTGTTATCCAAACAAACTTACGAGACCGTGGAGCGAATAGGGGTGCTGGCCGGGGTAAAAACATACAAACTGGTAAAACAAGACATACAGATAGAGAAAATACCATCGAATTTTTTATTAAAAAAAAATGAAAAAATATAGATTGTCTACGAAATTTTAAAATATTTTAATTGCATTTTAATTTTCTTTTTTTGATTTGTATTTGACAGATATTTGACATTATGGGAATTTTAACACTAGAGATGTTCAAAATACATCGATGCATCGAAAACACCGATATTTGCGTTTTTCTATATTTTTTCAATTTTTTTAAAAGAAAAATTCGATTTTTCTATATGTATATGTCATGTTTTATACTTGCGTGTAGCCATATCGTACAATTCTTCAACCCATAGTTCTCACTAAATTTAAATCGTGAGTTATTTTTTTTTATTATAAACTTGTAACTTTCGAGAGTAAATTCTTAAGTAATAATAGCATAATTTAACCTAAATTTCAAAAGTGTATAAATTATAATAGTATATCCTAACCTAACTAATAGTTCTACAAAATCGATTGGGTATTTCGCGTACAATGGTCTCAGTCACGGAGCCACAGGTGCTCTTGCAAAAGTGCCTATACCCAGGCGTTATTTTCCGCCATGGTGTAAGTAAGTAAATGAACTTATTGCGCATGCGGAAGCTCGAAAGCCAGTATAGAATTGACTAGAAGCTAGGGAGTCGCATACCACTTTTGTTCCTTTGCTTCCGCGCATGCGCATGAGCTATACAAAAACGATCGAGTATTTCGCGTGCAATCAATAAATACAAAAAAACTCACACCAAAGACTAACCAAAGCAATCAAAATACGCCTACGGCGTATTTTGATCTCTTGTACCAACAATTCTAAATAAATAAAAACAGTTTTAAAAAAATGCATGAAATTCCGGATAATTTACTAGCTGATCTGACAATCATGTATCAATTCTCAATATTTGTCAAAATTCGACCTTCACTACTGTCAGCGTAGACATAGAAACGGGTATAAATAAGTCCGCGACTTTTTCATTATCGGTTATGGATTTTGCTATAAAAATCAAATAACAACGTTTTCTGGAATATTTGTTATGTGAAACGTGTTTTTCCGCATCAGATTTTAGTCAAAGAATCCAAGAAATTCATTTTAAGGTAACATAAATTTCATTTTCTAAGAAAAATCATGTGTCAGGATAGTTCACCGAAGCCCCGGAAACAATGGCCAGTGTATTCAATGGCGTTGGAGAGTCCAAGAAATTCCGCTATCTTTGTTGGCATACCTGCAATTGTATTGATTCCAACTGGCAGGGTACAGCATTGATTTTTTCGATACTTCAAGAATAATCGCTGATGTGTCACATTGATTAGTCGAAGTACTTACGAAATATGTATGCATGTAAGAAATAGATACTATCTATTGGTCCCTCAGTAATCGTAAACACTCTTGAAAAATGAGTTTTTGTATTCGGAATCTTCACACTAATAAATGACTGACAATCTTTAATGGCATCTACGCCCAAAAACGTGATTTCTTCCCATCTACATGCTCCAAATACTTCAACGATTAAGACAACTTTAGCTAACAGGAATTCTTTATCATCGGCTTCTTTCATAAAGCGTTCTATTTCCAGTTTTGTAAATACTTTTGATTTCTTTGCTTGATATCTGGGAGCTTTTCTTTTTAAAAATGCAATAAGGTTTGTGAATTTGCTAATATCTACGTTTCTGTTTAGATAAATCATGGTGCGGAGCATCGAATATTTACTCCACAGAGTTGACGGCTTTAAGGTAGTGAATAACTTCAGCAATACCTTTTTTGTGAAATTCTCAACATGTTTTTCTTGGACCCAGGTTTCAAAGTTGTTGTAGATGGTCTCGTATAAGTTTTACACTAACGTGGATAGCGCAGTTTCAGCAGCTTGGTGAATATCCAAAGACTCGTCATTATCACTCATTTTTTCACAAAACTTTGTAGGAAATACGGCGATGTTTGAAACTGACAGAACTTTGTTATGCTGTGTCATTAAACAATGCATAGAAAATGCCTTAGAAACCGATTACCGGAACATTTTAAAAAATGTTTAAAAATAAATAATGATAATAGCATAAACATTTCAAATTATCCGCTTTCACAAAAAATCTTGTATGAAATTTGTTGCGAAAAGAGTGTTTTAAGCACTCGATGCATTGTCGACAATTTTGCGTCCCGTGCTTAAAATACATTCATTTCGCAACTTGTTACATACATAACTATTATATTATCAATCACGTCGCAAAAATTAATACTGCCAAGGTGTATGTGGCGCTAAACTTTATTGCTGGTTGCCTACATTGCCGCAACGTGTCAAGAGACATGGCGAATTCACTGAAAAGTAAAAGATATTTTTAGGCGCCATCTCTTAGTCTAGTCGACAAGTAAGCGAATCGAACAATAGAATTTACTGGTAGATGGCGGAAAAGTATCGAAAATTACAGAAGGTTCGAGAAACAGTGAGTAGGGATATATAAAGGCCCGCGCTTGGCAGTTGTACAGTTTGAAGTTTGATAATACCGCGTTTGGCGAGAAGGTGCCAGAACCGTTAGAGTAATAGTAGTTGCATAAATTGTGTTGTAAATAGTATAAGTTGTGTGTCCAGAGTGAGAAAAATAAATTCGTTAAGTATTTTATCGTGAGTCTAAATTAGTGTACCTACGGAATCCGTAACAATACTTTTGTGACGTTTGAAAAAAAAATATTTTTTTTCTCGTGTTGTTTTCTTTTCGACTCAAAATAACATAAGAAATAATAATATAAGAATTTACCACTAGCATCACAGGCAGCTGAGCCTCCATTATGGCGTTACTATCTACTTTTCGTAATTCCTGCATTAAATATTTTGTGTCATTTGTTTCGATGCCTAGTGCGATGCCCAAGTCGAAAGCGATTTTTCTTGAATCTGTTTGGTAAGCCCAAAAGCACAGACTAGAACCGCTCATAATTACTGCTCCTATTACAAGATCATAAATATAGTACAGTGTGTATCCACAGTTTGTATAGTTTATATCCACAGTTTATATAGATTCACCAAATTTAAATACACTCATCATCGGCAAAAGTCTTGCACCCCCCAGATAAATTTATTTCTTTGCATAGCATATTGTTGTGGCTATGTGTACAAATACCTTAATATGTGTCTACAAAAAATAGGTCATAAAAGCAATGAAAGAAAACTTATCAATGGAATGTGTATGGTTTTGCTATTTGCGGTCAAATTTTGTTTCTCAGTTCTAGTTCAATCTTGTAGTAAGTCTTGTGAAAGGCGACAAAAATTCCAGGGCACAGAATTTCTGCCTTCGACAGGGCCCGAATTATCGCTTTGCATGAAGAAGGTCTCAACAGGCATCAAATTGCTGATCGTTTAAATTTAGTGCGAAGTACTGTAAGCAGAATTATACAACGGTATATGGACACCGGAAATGTAAGATCTCGTCCTAGGTTGGGCCGTACAAATGTAACGACTGAACGACAGGATCGCTACTTGGCTCAATTTGCCAGAAGAAATCGGTCAGTTCCAATTCGAGAGCTACGATCTCAGTTTCAACGAACTTACCACCGAGTGATATCAAACCGAACCATTTCCAGGCTGGATTGCGGTGTAGGCGTCCTCTGCGAGTCCCTCTATTAACTTTACACCATAGGCAAAGGAGGCTACAGTAGGCTAGAGAACACCAGAACTGGTTATTACCTCAGTGGAGAAACGTAATTTTCACTGACGAAACTAGGATAGGTTTGATCAGTGATGACTATCGTCAGCGAGTGGGGGCAACGGCCTAGCTATGTCGAAACACTGGTTCCCATTAGAACACCGAAGTTAAGCGACGTAAGGCGATACTAGTGGATGGACGGGTAACCGGTTCGAAACTCTGTATCGTGCTGTTGTCCAAAAAAAGGCAAAAGTGTAAAATCTATTGACACACTCTGCTCATTCACGCCGGTTCGAGGCCGGATGAGATCGGATATCTCGTGAGTAAAAGTCGATTTGGACACTTGCCAAGTCGGTAGGCCATTTACCATGATATGGCCGAGGACCGCAGTTCGGATTCCGCGTAAACAAAGTAGGCCCCGTCCAGATTAGCCCTGGCAGCAAAAAGGAGGCGTTAACTGAAATCTCTACTGTTTTTACTTTTTTACTTATAGTGGGGATGCCCCGACGACTTGATAAAAAATCGAGGAGGCAATACTTTATATTAGTAACCTTAATTTTGTCAGAATTTATTATTTATTTATTTACTTTCTCTTTTTTGTCAAACATTTTTTTTATGGAATTTGCATTTTTTTGTATTTTGGCAAAATATATTATATTAAGCTTGGTGAAAGTCTTCCCTTTTTTGTGTTATTTTTTAGCATAACTTTAGCATCTATTGATTTCCACGAAAAATTAATTTGAAATGTATTTTTTTATTAAAAAAGTAAGGGGGTGTAAGACTTTTGCCGATGAGTTTAGATAATTTGTGCGCAGTTAAGCATACATTTTGAATAAAAGCATTAAGAATCGTTATGCTATCCATGTATTCTATCTAATATCTACATTAACCGGTACGAAAAACGGGCACCTGTAATTTAAAGATTAATATATTTTGTATTAACAGGCCGATTTTGATGATTTTTTAAGCAATTTATAGATAAATTATTTGACTTTTTAGTATCTCTTACTAAATTAATATTGAAAGTTTCCGTCTGTCAATTATAGGAGGGAAAACAAAATTTTGATATTTTGGTGATAGTTTGAAACACCCTGTGGAATATGTTAACAAAATAAGAAATTTAAAATTTATTTTATCATCTAGGTACGTCTTTTCTGGATAGTCTGTTCTTTTCACTCATCTCAATAGCTTTATTTTTATTGGAGATATTTGTTTTGAATAAGACGGCAATAGTCTAAGAACTGGCTACATAAAAAACCTTAACATCTTTACATGGCGAATTTTTCTTGTGAAGTACCCTTTTGTGTTGCCACTATGAAAAGTCATGTCTACCAACGCGATCTCGGGGCTTAAAGCGGGGGCGGCCAATCGAAAGGGTGAAATTTTGACACTAAAAATGTTATAAGGTACACGAGTTATAATTACCAAATAGCTTTTATTTCTTATTAAGAAACGTGAAAAATTGTTGGCAGACATTTTTCTCGTGGCCAAAATGCCGGCAGACAACACGAAAGAGGCATGGCATTTTTTCCGGAGGCAACAATTTTTAAAAAAAATTATGGCATACATGCATGCCGATTGGTAGAATGTCATATTTATATAATTTAAAAGCCGTATACACAAGGGCAGACAAAAAGATCGTGGCTAAATCAGCGACATACAGTAATCGAAAAAATTGGCCAAGAAAAATCGGCCATGTAACGATAAGGTTTTTTTATGTATCCAGCTCACCGTCTATAACGATTTATAGCAATTTTAGCATTGAAAGCATGCATTTTTTGGTTCTTATCAACACACGTACAGAATAGTTTGTATTGTTTTGGTAATGTTCCTGTCATTGAAAAGTTATATTATCATTGTTTATTGACGTTTACTCAAGTAGAGATGGTTTTAAGTTCGAAAGTATCGGGTATTGCTGCTTTAATTGATCACGGTAGAGATCAATTTGGACTTAAAACCTTATCTGCTATTGTAACTGAATGAATGTATTCTACATTATGTTTTTTACACTATTTAAATAAAATTGGCCCTGATGAGCCGAATTTAAGCCAACGATGTTAAAAATGTCAAAAGTTCGTACTGTGAAACAACCCTTTTGCCTTTGGCGACATAAACAAGGAATTCACACTGACAGCTCCAGCACTTTGCCCAGCTATAGTTACCCTGCCAGGGTCACCTCCAAAACGCTTTATGTTCGTTTGAACCCATTTTAGCACAGCAAGTTGGTCTTTAACTGCCCAATTACCAGGGCATTCTAAATCTTCTGTACTCAGATAACCTTCAAAGGTAAAATGTTAGTCGTACGATATAATAATTATAATTTTTTTAATTTTATTACCAAAAATAGATATTCTGAAATGAGGAAGTACAACAATAAGATCATTTTCCATGAAGAAATCTGCACCATAACGATCTTTTACTGGTCCGCCACCAAGGAAAGCTCCTCCATAATAAAATACTAATACTGGAAGTAGATTTCTTGGATTCGATTCTTTGGGATCCTAAAGCGTTACATCAAGTACGTATGCAAATAAGAATTTAACATTTCGACAGATTTTTAATGGAAAACTAATATATTATGCTTCAAAAATTTTGAAGCATAGTTTTGAAATTCAAGAAGAAAAAATCTGTCGGATTGTGATTATATACCCTTGGCGTATAAACATTTAAATATAAGCAATCTTCTTCTCCTTGGGGTTTAAACTCCATCTTTACCATAGCACTTATATTTACGCCAGCACAAAATGGGCCTTCGACTGTAGCATCCAATATTCCAGTCCATTTTTCGGGAGGCTGCGGTTCCTAAATTAAAGTATTAACAAGTTAATAATTATAAACTGAATATAAATAAATATATACAGTACGTCACCGGTTTGTCTTTACAAGAGGAAAAACATTTTTACTATTTTTGACATTTTAATGCATTCTTCATATAAAAAATTTCTTGTTCTAAAATGGTTAATCCCGTTTATACATTTCCAGATTTCCATACTGTTTTATAGAAAATTAAAAAAAACATGAAAATATTGTTGGATTTTTATAAGCTCTAAAAATCATAAGCGGTTTCTATGGTAATATCATTTCGATGTCATTCTTTGATAGATAGTTATTATTAATTTTGATTAACGTCATATTTTCTACCATTGTTAAAGTATCACCTTTTCCGATAAAGATTATCCTCCTTTCTGTAGCACTGAACTAAATAAAATTTATGGTTCCTTAACATTTTAAAACAGCAAAAAACATTATGTTAATTATAATCAATGACGTTAATTCTATCAATAACAATTTGTCAAAAAATTAAATGGAAATGATATTACCATAGAAATACCCTTTGATTTTTATGACTAAAATTCAACAGAATTTTAATGTTTTTTATTAATTTTCTCTAAAACGGTATGGAAATTTGGAAAACTATAAACGGGATTAAACCATTTTAGAACAAGCAAAAATTTTCCAAAAAAAAAGCAAGAATGCATTTTTCTCAAACTGGCAATAATAATAAAATAATAGTTAGGGGAGACTCGGGCAGGAAGGGTCAAATGATACAGCTCTATACCAGAAGATATGAGAGCTAAATGATGCCTTAATATCGCTAGAGATAAAGCATGGTTTCTTTTTCCAAATTGTCATATTAATTTTTATAAAAACCGATTTGTTAATATCCTAATTAGAGCAAAATCAACAAGTGCTTTTGACCCTTTTTGCCCTACCCCCCCGGGCAAAAAGGATATAGCAATCGGGCAAAATGAATCAAGTCTAAAGCCAAACGAATATTGAAGCTAATAAGTTTTTAAAAATGTATTATATTTATTTATAAATGAAAAAAAAAACTTTAAAGAACTGCATTACAAAATAAAACGATTTTTTTTCAGTAGAACACAAGTAAAAGTTTTAAAAACTAATTATTTTTATGTTTCTTTTTTCTGTACAAAAAAAGGATTTCAACTTGTAATAAAGTTACAAATATCTGCGGGACGAAACAACTTGCTGTCGACAGTTGTCGCAAATAAACACTCCCGTTTTATAGTCAGTGCACAGCGCGTGTGCCCACAGTTGATACAAGTTGCACTGAATCCATTTTTCGTCGCTTACAAAGTTTCCGAAGGTGTCACCACATAGTAAGCAGGGTATATAGTTTTCTTCTGGAGAGAATATTTCTTTGGGTCGTTTTGGATTTTTAAAAGCTGGCGGTTTAACTGCCTGTTTTTTCTGGCTGTTTTGCGTTTGGAGTCGAATTTCTTCCTTAACAGGGGTTGAGGTAAGTATTTCGGACTTCTGGGTTTTTCTTTTTGTGCCTTTTTTTCGATTTTGACATTTTGGAAGTGTCCGTAAATCCGAAACTCGAATTTTTTTATCCTTATGAGCTTCGTCTGAATTTTCCTTTGTGGTGTTACGGAATGTTGACGGTCTATTTTCATCTTCAAATGACACATTTGAATCATTAACGTTAATGTTCGGCGCGAAAGAAGAAATTGAAGAGTTATCGTGATCATATTTAACAGATCCAGAAGTTGAAGCTTTATTGTCAGCGTTTTCGTCAGGGTTTAAATCCGTGATATTTTTAGAGGTCAAAGGGGAAGAATAATCCTGAATACCTTCAAAAGGTTTAGAGGGGGCAGCTATTTTTTCTACACTCTGATTGGGATTACTTGGCAGATTGTTAATAGTAAATGTTAAGTCATTTTCTAAACTTGTATTTTGCTCCTCGATTTCTGTTACTTGAGAGGGCAAGAAATCTAAATCGGTGAAAACATTTATGTCACCATCTATTATGCCAGTTTTCCGGAAACCATTAATGGCGTTAGCCGGTGTGGCAGCCTTTAAATACGCCTCAGAAAATATTTCGCCGATGTCAAAAAAAGTTACGTGTTGAGATGGATGAGTTTTTTGCCATTTATCTATGGCATATTGAAAATATTTACTAAATGGACCGTAAACCGACACATCGAAGGGCTGTAATTTGTGTGTGCTGTGTGGTGGCACAGTTAACAGAACAACGTTATTTTCATGAGCATAATCTAAAACTGTAATAGCTCGATGGGAGGAGTGGTTATCCAATATTAACAAACACTTGTTATCAGCTGAAGGTCTCACGCTTTTTATAAAAAAACGAAGCCATTCGAGAAAAGCTTCGGTGCTAATCCAGCCGGAGTCTGTTACTAAATCAATTGTTCCTGGGGGGCAACCATTTAGATAACGCGGATTCCTCTTCTTTCTTGGGAACACAAGTGCTGGCGGAATGAATTTGCCCGTTGCAGAGCAACGAAACAGTGAAGTAATAAGTGTCCCACGCTCCGACGATGAAATGCTTCCTACTTGCTTTTTTCCGGCCAATGAAATTACTTTTGGCGGCTTCTTTGGTGATGTTTGAATACCCGTTTCGTCTACGTTGTAGATGTTATCCAAGTTGATTTTATATCTGTCTATAGCAGCTTTTAAATTTTGAAAAAATAACTGGACCTAAGGTCTATTAAATCCACGGGCTCTTGCTATTCTTGTGGGTTCAGGCTGTCGAAGACTTAATTCTGGATGGCCCCGCATAAAATTTTGGTACCATTGTTCTCCTGCCGTATTATTTCGAAATAGATGAACTATATTATTTTTCTCTGAATATTGATATGCAATTTTACACATATCTCTTTTGGTTAATCCATAAAAACGGTTATCCAGCTCTTTTATATATTCAACAAATTCGGCTTCTTCTTCTATGGAAAAAACTGGTTTGAATCTGCCCAATATCTTCTTTATTTTATTACTTTTTACATGTCTTTGCAGCGTTGAAAATGTTACTTTGAATTGTAACGATGCTGTCGAATTGATGTTCCGATTTTTACAGCCCCAAAAGCCCGTGCTATATTTTCTTCCGTTCAACTGTTCGCTCTATCCGATTTCCTTTTGTACATGTATACCATCTAGAAGAACAAAAGGCAACTCTGAACATCTGTATCGATAAATTTAAATGTAGACTTTATTAACAATTGCCCGGAACGATTTATCGTTCCGGGCAAAAAGGGTCTAACCCCTCTTGCCCGACCCCTCTTGCCCGAAATGACAACAGCGGATAAATCATACTCTCTATAAAATAAATATAAACTTGGGCCAAGCAATTTGAGGTTAGGTCTTACCTTAAAGTGCCGTGATTATAAATCTATGCGTAGAATCTTCAGAAAACGCAATATGGCAGAGCAGTCACCAATATAAAATTCTCGTTTCTACTATTTGACAAGGCTTAAAACACTTTTCATCAAATAAATATAAAGTCGTTTACAATGCGGTACTCCACCGTTTGGCATCAACAAAGGAAACTAAAAACGATTACCGGAAACCATTGTTGCCAGATTTCATGGTATTTCTAATCGTAAATATTTTCGTGATCCTTTTTGCCCAGTATATCCTTTTTGCCCGAGTCTACCCTAATCGTTATTGTGATTGTAACATTATTCGTAGGTATATGTTTGATATTTAGAGAAAGAATAGTAGATCTTAATATTTTCTTAACTTTGTAAAGAGTGTTATCGTGTGTTTGGTTAAGTATAAGGATCCAAAGAATTCATAGCAATGCTTTATTTGAATTTACAATTTAATCTGTTTATTTATTAGTCAAAGAATGCCTAGCAAAGTTGAACAAATTAGACTAAGAAAATAACTAACTCCTACTCAGTTGATACCAAGGGATAGAAGGCAATGAAAAGGCAAACGATCTATCTTAAAAAGGAGCGAACGCTCCATTAACTGGACCAGAGCTGTTCTGTTTCCCAAGTGGAAACTAACTTAAAGAGGAACTCAAGAATTTGGAAGACTCCATACGTAACCTGGAATGGGAATTCTCCAACGGTCTAAGACACTCGAAGAAATTTCTCAGAACTTACGACCGAGAAAAATCAAAGATTTTCCTAGATTTAAGTAAGAACAATTTGTGGATTGTCACGGGGTTTTTAACAAGATACTGCCTCCTCAATGAACATCTCAGTAGATTGAAGCTAGGAGACAACGGCGAATGCAAAATATTTGGGGAAAATGGAGAAACAAATTTATGATTATCAGCAAACTAAATATGTATTGAAAATATCAGGTTACAAATAGAAGATCAAACTATAGAAAAGGTAAGAAGATTTAAGTACTTGGGTTGCTGGCTGAATGATAAATGGGATCCTGATGAAGAAATCAAACATAGAATTGAAATAGGCAGAAACACTTTTTTCAAAATGAAAACTCTACTTTGCAACCGAGACATGAATCTGACTACTCGATGGCGAGCTACCAAATGCTATGTATTGTCTATATTGATATACGGAGTCGAGGGATGGACGTTGAAGGTACGGACTATGTCACGCTTGGATTCATTTGAGATGTGGTTGTACCGACGAATGTTGAAAATATCCTGGACCGAACGAACAACAAATCTCGAAGTATTAGAAAGAATGTGTAACAACCAAGAACTATTGACTACAATAAAACGACAGAAAGCAGCACATTTTGGTCATATTTTTAGAAATAACAAATATAGTTTCCTACAGCTGATCGTTGAGGGAAAGATTGAAGGACGACGAGGCATTGGGCGTAAACGGTTCTCCTGGTTGCGGAATTTACGCCAGTAGTTTAATATAGGAGAGGCTAGTGCAATTATCCGTTTGGCTCAAGACAGGGAGGAATGCCAATTGATGGTCGCCAACCTCCGATGAGGAGAAGGCACATGAAGAAGAAGAAGGAGAAACACCAAAACACCTCATGGCTGAGTGAGCCGAGATAATAACCATTCGTGCCATAAACATGATACCACTGATATCGCAGATGGAGAACTACCCTCTGTAAAACTGTCTCAGATACTGACTTTTGTGAAAGCCCTAAGACTGTACGATGAGTTATAAATAAAAAAAGGGGATTTAAAATATCTGTAAGATCGCGGTGATAAATCCCCCGTACATTCTACAAATTGACAGTCAAATAATAATTATTTTGAAATGACACTAAAAAGAGAGAGGAACCATTAAAATTTACATACCCTGAATCTGAGATCATTTATGGGTGGTTTGGCGTAAGGCACACCAACATAGCTATAAAAGGTCTTATTAGATATCGTGGTTTCTTCTTGCCCTTGGATGATACCATCTTGTAACGTAAGCTGAAGGTCGTTGTTCTATAAAAATATAAATAAATCATTTTTTTGTTTGTAGTAAATTTATTTATTATTTAAGTGATTTTTTATTTTTATCAGTATCTACAATATTTAAAGACTAAAGAATGCCAAACAGGTCCAAGACCCAATATTATAATTAATCAACACAATTTTATAATACTTAATTACTAAACCTTAACTTCTATAAAAGGAAAAATACTTAATGTCCATATTGCAACTACTTGAGGCCTGATACATTATTTGTGAGGGCTGATACATTTTTTATTTAATTTTTGTCACTCCAGAAATAAATTACTTTTTTTAAAATAAAAATTAATGGTCAGTTTTTATGTCAATTTATAATAAATGAAATGTAAGGCTTTTTCCGATACAAATTATGAAATTATCCTCAATTGTCATATGAAAAGCCACTATGATACCTTTTTTTATAGATCGTGAGGTAAAATCATTAATGGGAGGAGTCTTAAATAAGGTGGCTCTTTTTAGGGTAATATACACACAACAAAACTTATATGGAGCTTGCACTCTTTTATTTTGACTAAATATCTTGCAAGGATAAAAATTGGTATACAACTTTAAGATAAGGCTTTTTGTTGTAAATAAACATGGTAATAAAGAATAAACTTCTGCTGCGATTTATTTTCTTGACTTTTGTGTTCAGTAGTAAAATCACGATTGTCCGGTAATCTTCATTCAAGCCAAAAAAAATTAAAAAATGCTATTATGGATTAACACATGTATACAGGGGAAGAATTATTGTTCTCACCGAACATGGAATGTTCCAGAGAGACGTAGCAGAGATAGTAGGCGTTACAGGGTGTTGTATCGAAAGCATATGCAAGGTACCTGGAATTAAGAACATACAAGTATTGGCCCAGACAAAGTCGTCAAGAGTCACAACTGAACAACAGACCGCTTTGTGTGCTATATTATAGAATAAATTCCAATGTTTCTTATCCAGAGCTACAAAAACAACTTCTGGCAGCTACAAGTGTGAACGTTTCATTTGAAAAATATAAAGAAAAAGACTTCGTGCACGAGAGTTTTACAGTAGGAGAGAGTTATGGATCCCACAGTTATCTCGGCAAAAATAAAAATTGACTAAATTGATGCCTTCAACATCAAAACTGGACAACTGATTTTTTTTTTTTTTGTTTTTTTTTTCGGATGAGACCAGAATTATTATACAAGATCAAAATAACCATCGAATTAAGGTTCTCAGAGGTCCAGGAAGACGAGCGAGCCTTCAGGCTGCCAAATGTACCAAGATATAAAGGAGGAACTGTAATGTTCCGGGGAGGTATTATACTGGGAGCAAAAAACTCCATTGTTACCCCTTCAACAAATTTTAACGAGTCGGAGATATGTTGATTTGGTGCTAGACCCAATCGTTAGTCTTTGGAGAGCTGCAATTGGAGATTATTTTAACTTCTTGTCCATATCAGCAGAGTGACTAGAGAATGTCTTGAAACGGAAGCTGTCAGAATTTTGGACTCGCCTTCATATTTACCAGATCTAAACCCTATCGAACACTTATGGGACTAGCTCAAAAGAAGGGTTAGAGCTCGTCGAAACAAGGAAATCTCGCACAGCTTATTGATGCAGCATTAGCAGAATGGGAAAACATACCCCAAGACAACGTGGATATAATTCATCGCAAATTTTCCCACCGTATAGTTTATTAATTCCTCTTTTTACCATGGTTACGGCACTAAAAGGGATGCAAAAACAGAAAAAACCCGGTGGCTTTCAAAATATATATATATATTTTTTTTAATTTTCAAACTTGAATAACTCGGGTATTTTGAACTTATTTGAAAAACGGCAAAGAGAAGATCTGTTTCTTTTATCGAGATTTGTAGATCTCTGAAAATATTTGCACTTATTTGTAACTTAACCTGTATGAGTGTAAAGGTAGAAAGAGTACAAATCTCTTTACTATAATATACAGGATGAGCAAAATAAAACAAAATCAAAAAAAATATTTTTAGGGGTATGCTCTTCCTGGGCCTCAGAACACACGTCTAAACATTTGCGCGAAGAAAAAATTGGTAGATTTTTTGAAAAGAATTTTAAATTAAAAAATTTAAATTTTAGTTAAAAGAAAACATAGACAGATTAAAATTAGATTCAAGTTGTTCACAACATTTAAACAAAAAAAAAAAAAAAAAACTTTTCAAAAATAAAATATCGAGGAGTTATTTTGGATTAATTTAAAAAAAACAGTAATGAGAAAACTTTCTTTTTATCGAAGGATCTACTAGCGCTAAAAATATTTTTAATTTAAAGGAGCTCACCCTGTTCTGTACTCTAATATAAATTTTCTAAATAATATACAGTGTGTGTCACAGTTGACTCCCAAGAGGAAAAAACTTTTTATTCGTGGGTTTATGAAAAAAGTTATTCTTCATAAAAACTCTTTGCGAGCTTAAACAGCCAAAAAGCAGGCATATTATTTTTTTACAAATGTATATACCGAGAGGTATTAAAAAGTTAAAAAATATGGAAAACGTTAAGAACAAAGTACTTGTATATGTAAAATACGATGTATTAATAAAAGTTCTAGGGATTGAAAAACTACACCACGTCCAAATTTTATCTCGCTACCTAAATGTACAGGGATTGTTGGGTTACGCTCTCCACTTATAAAAATACCATTCTCTATTAACTTAACTTTTCTTGAATAAGTCTTAAATCCTTGTTTACCATAATTTTCATTTACTTCCCATACAAATTAGCCAATGGAGGCTTTAAAATAAAACTCGTGCACGATTAATTGATATTAAACTTCTTTTTTAAAACGAATGAAGAAATAAAAAGCATTATTGAAGCAAATAATAGATAATAAAAGGCAGGTTATTAATTTAAAAAAAAACATAACCAAAAGTTTTTTAATAATAATTCTTTTTCAATGTCACATTGTTTAGTTTATGACAGTAAAAAAGTCAAAATGCTAATGTTAGAACAAAAAGTGTTTATTCTTCAATGTTACGGCTTAGAAGAAAATATTTCATACTCGTACGTAACAAAAATGGTTAGTGAGAAATGGCCAAATCTTATCATTGACCACAAAACAGTAAAATCCGTTGTTTCCAAATTTAGAACAACAAGGGCGTTTTGAATGTTAAAATAAAAAAAACTCTATGAAGAGAGAAGAAAATGCTGTGGCAGCTATCGCGCTGAATTCTGTTCGACGTTTCCCCAAAACATCGCTAAGAATCAGAGCATCCCAAATTGGGAACGTTAGTAAATCATATTTACAAATAATTTTCAAGGCTAATAAGGTCGGGGCCAAGGATATATAGAATAAGGATATTCGACTGGCCCAAAAAAAACGTGCCGTATTTTGTCGAGGAAGACGATTTCGTCACGACCAATGAGCGTCGAGTATTTGAAATTGAAAACATATAAATTGACGGCAACCTATGTTTTTTGATTCATTTCAACAGCATGTGATGAGATTTATTATGGTATTAGTCAAAATCAAACGTTTTTTGAATAAAATAATTTATTATAAAGTTATTTCCTAGAGATTTGGTTTGGCCTTCTATATTCTGTTATTTGTCTACTAATAAATAATATCTTATTTGTATTTCGATGTGGAAATCCGCAATTTTTGTATCTGAAGCCGCAAAGAAATTTCGCTCTATAGTGAGAAAAATGTTATATATTTTTAGACGCGTAGAATTACAAAATTTCTTATTTCAGAATGTTCTAAATGTGAGTGCTTAATGTCAAAAGAGGTAAAATATATACTTGAAATATTGGTATATTATTTCAAGTTATACCCTTTGCCCTTTGGAAGTAAACAAATATTGAAGAAAGTGTTGTGCCTTCACAGAATTTAAATTGGCATTAGGAATAGATTTCCTTGATTTAGTAATGATATTGCTCATAGAAATTGATAATATACTATTTTATATTCACTCGTTCAAGTGCTGATCTATTTTTAAATTGAATATTTATGTAAATGTATGTAACACGATATAAATAAATTGCTTTGAAATTAAAATTTCAAATTTTTTTTTTTTTTTTTTTTATTGTTATTTTATTCAAATATATATTGAAATTAATATAGAGCAAAGTTCATAAATATTATTCTTAATAACAAGAATTGAGATTTGGGGATAAGTTTGAAAAACCATGTCAGAAGAGTAGGATTAAAGACAAAGTATTAAGGTAACATATATTTGCATAAAGTTTTAATAACACTGACAATTTTATTTGTTTATGTTTATTAATTAAAAATTTAGTTGCAATTTATTTCATATTCTAATATTTTTGAAAGAATTTACTTATATACATACCTGAATATTATACTGCTTTTTTATTTGAAGTGTGCCGACTGTGCTGTTATTTTTATACTAGTAATATTGTATACATGAGTATTACATATTGCATATGTATAGTTATAGTATATCAGTAGTATAGATACTTACTTTCTTTCTATGCGTATTTATATCCTTTATAATGGTCTTTCTAGAACATATAATACTACTTTTTTAAGAGAAGGCAGTTTTTTAATAATCTATTGTTAATTCCCCTAATTCTGTGTCCACTGGTTCTGCTATACAACAATTATATATTTTTTATCATTACTGATTTTAAAGTTTCTTTTCAAAAGGGTGACCATATATATTTTTTTCAGAGTAATTGGCCTGTTCCTGAACAATATTGAATATAAATATTCAAAAATATGATTGATAACTGCATATCCTACTAAGTAGATCAGCCACCAAAATCCCATTAAGTAGTTAAAATTATGTTTTACTTGTATAATTTTCTTGCTATTTGTCCACCATTATTGTGACTTAGAATTAAATAATTCAAAGAATTTGAGTACCAAAG